CTATAAACATTGGGGTACAAGTGCCCCTATGCAACAGCACTCTAGGAATTTGAATTTCTAACAAGACGCTGATGCTGCTCGTCCAGGGACCACACTTCGAAAACCACTAGAATGACCTTTTCACACTACTGAAGGATTACTACACAAAAGGCACAAGAATGGAACCTAGAAAAGTCCATCAGAATTAGAGGTTTGCATCATATCAAGCAGTTGGATGATCAAGAATATCCAGACATTGGCTTGAACTTTTCTTTTTTGTCCAGCACATTTTGACATAAGGCAGACAGAGTTTCAGAGTGCACGTGCCTTCACAAAAGCCCACATTTCCTTAGTGTTCACTGTTAAGTACACGTTTAAGAGTTTTGTTCCTTTGGGCATTATAAACGTTGGAGGATGATGATGCTGACAACGGTGAATCACAAGATGGAGTCAAGCGTCACTAACAAATGAACGTCCTCTCTCTGAAGGTGACAATATTTGGTTTGTCAAGTCACAGATGCATCCATTTCCTTTCCTGAGGGCCAAGCGCTGAGCTGCAGCTGTTGTTCCTATTAGGGAACTTTGCTGACTTACAGGTGGATAAAAGGCAAATGGGTATCCATCGGAGATGAGTATTTTCCATCCCTGTCTCGCAGCATAGCTCTTCTCAGGTGATTATCTCTTCTTATTTAAGGAAAACGTAGCTAACTTAAAACAACCTTCGTAAACATTTATTTTTGAAAGAGAGTGTGAGAGTGAGTGGGGGAGGGGTAGAGAACAGAAGACAGAGGATCTGAAGCTGGCTCAGACCTCAGGAGCTCTGAGTGCAGTGCTCCAACACAGGAATTGTGTGATCATGACCTGAGCCGAAATCAAGAGTCGCTTAACTGACTGAGCCATCCAGGTGCCCCAGGAAAATGTAGCTAATTATTGAAGCTGGCAGGTAAATCCTACCTGGAAGAAGCTTTTTTTTTTTTTAATGTTTATTTATTTTTGAGACAGAGAGAGACAAAGCATGAACGGGGGAGGGGCAGAGAGAGAGGGAGACACAGAATCCGAAACAGGCTCCAGGCTCTGAGCTGTCAGCACAGAGCCCCACACGGGGCTGGAACCCATGAACCGTGAGATCATGACCTGAGCCGAAGTCAGACCTTAACCAACTAACTGAGCCACCCAGGCACCCCATTTTTTAAACTGGGTTTTCAAATTATGTTAGCATACAATAATACTTGCACTTAATAAAGTTTTATAAAAATATAGAAAGGAATAAAATTATAAAAAGTCTTTCCATTTTTTTACCTTTGAATTTTCAGTCCCATTCTTCAGAGGTAATACCTACTGATAAGTCATCCCAAAATATCTGTGCATTCACACACACACGCATACACACACACACACACACACACACACACACACGTCTTTTTTTATACAAACAGAATTTTGCATTGATACATAATTTTGCTCTGCACCTTGCTTTCTTTATTTGGAGGTCTTTCCATATGAGCATATGTAGAGATACACCCTATTCCTTTTCATGGTACAAAGTATTACATACACTGTATGCATGTACTTGCTTATTGATGATATTACAAATTATGGTGTAATTACCATGTGCATATATATATGTGTGTGTGTGTGTGTGTGTGTGTGTGCGTGTGCATATATATATATATATATATATAATAATATCATATAATTAACTTGCCATGTCTGTGGCATAACTCCTAGAAGTGGCTTTGCTATTTCAAAAGTTATGTGCATTTAAAAATTTGATAGATGTTGCCATTTCTACCAAAAACGCCATATCAATTTCTTTCCCACCAATAGGATTTGACATTTCCACACATCCTCACCATCACTGAGTATCATCAAAATGTTGATTCTTTTGTAATATGATAGGTGAAAAACTATATCTTATTGATTCCATATGCAATTCTTTCATTATGAGAGATATTGAGTGATTTTGCATATATTTATTAACTTGGGTAATTATTTTTTAAATACTAATTAGCTATTTTCCTGGATGCATTGATATTTTGCAGGCTCTCCCTCAGGAAAAAAAGTTTCTAGTGTATGATGAAGCACTGAAGCCAGTGGGAACATATCTTGTTTGTTGATATTATTTTACAGAGTAAAATAAGTAACAGTAGACTTGTGTTCTCCATAAAAGTAAAGAGATAATAGAGGGAAGAGAGAAGGGGGTAGTGGAATAGTGCAATTTCATCTCAAGGGTCCTAGATGAATGACAATAGGTCTTCAAAGGGTCAAATGAAACTCCTCAGAGGTGACACATTAGGCCTATTAGTCAGCTTTGGGTTGGGATACTTAGAGTCTACTATTTGCGTAACATTTCACACTGACAGCCTGGTCTTTAGAGTCTGACATCTCCCTTATCTATATATCCTAAGCAATGCTTCTTAACCTCTCTGATTCCCAACTTCCTCTCCCCAGTGAGATAAGAATTGTAACATTGATAATTAGCTCTTAAAGTTCTTAGAACTACTAAGTAAGATAATCACTATGAATACAGTACTTAGCACAAACCTTGACATATGGCAGTTTCTCAATAAAGGTGTGTTATTATCATTATAATATAACAATGTTACAATATAACAATGTCACCCACGAATCCATTCTATGGCTACTCTGAGAACTCTTTTAATTTGTTTCTAATGCCTGAGTTCACAGAGTAAAAGAACGTGTTGACCAGCTCTTTGTTACCCCATGAAACAATATGAAGTGGGATTAAACTAAACTCAAACTGTACAGAATTTTAATATTAGCCTCAAGGAGGAAGTCTCCATGAGCAAGGTTCTTAAATCCTGAAAAAGGAGGGTTAAGGGTTCCCTATTTCTTTAGTCCTTTAAAGTTATTCTTGGGGCACCTGGGTGGCTCAATGGGTTAACTGTCCGACTTCAGCTCAGGTCATGCTTTCGTGGCTTGTGAGTTCAAGCCCCGCTTCAGGCTCTGTGCTAACAGTTCAGAGCCTGGAGCCTGCTTCGGATTCTGTGTCTCCTCTCTCTCTGCCCCTCTCCTGCTTGCACTCTGTCTCTCAAAAATTAATAAACATTAACAAAAATTTAAAGTTATTGTTGACTAGCTGCTCATTATAATCATTTGGGAAGCTTTTTAAAAATACTTGTGCCTAGGCCCCCCATACCCAGAGATTCCAATTTAATTGACTGGGGTAGGGGCCAGTTTTGTGTTTTTTAACATGCAGCCAAACCTGAGAACTACTGCAAGGCACAGCTGCCCAGTGGCTCTTAATGTTAGTGCAATGGTTCTCAACCTTGGTTGTATGTTAGAATCACCGAATGAGCTATAAAAATACTGATGCTTCATCTTATCCCCAGAGGGTCTGATTAATTGGTCTTGGGTGTAATCTGGTGATCAGGATTTCTAAAATCTCCTCTGATGATACTAATGTACATTCAAGTTGGAGAGCCATATCAACCATATCGAAAGTGTGTCGATTTCAGAGCTCATCCATAGAAATTTTCTTTAGGGGGACTGGAATGAATCTAAGGCATATATATATATATATATATATATATATATATATATATATATATATATATATATATATATATATATATATATATATGTGTGTGTGTGTGTATATGTATATATCAAACACACCAGGTGTTTGTATCGTGTCTATATGATTGAAGTAGAAGCTAAAAGGTGGTCATCCTTAATAATCTTTTCATTCTCTTTGGGTTAGTTGGCAGGGATTTAGTTATTGCATCAAATAGCCTTATCATTGTCATTCTGGTTGAGTTGATTTAAAAAAAAATAGCTTTATCATCGTTATGCTGGTTGAGTTGATTAAAAAAAAAACAACTTACGTTAAACTGATGTGTTTTCCAATCCTAACCACCCATTAACTTGCCCTCTCTCTAGCCAAGGCAAGGACCCTTAACACTTCCATATCCTCTCATCTTCCAAATGACAGTCCTTGTAATGTTTGAAGAAAGTGATCCTTCTTCCCTTAGCCTTCACTTCTTCAAACTAGAGAAACCCCAGTTCCTTTAGTCCAAAAGAATAGCTGATTGGCTGCCAGGGTCCCTCCCTCCCTGTGTGCCCCATACCATTCCTTTAGAAGCAAGGATGGTGTCAAACTCTGATCTTATATGACCCAGACAGTAAACCCTGACTAATGTACCTAAATAAATAAGAATTCTATAAATAGATGGTATTACAATGTTAGGATCATCTATTAACTCAGTTTAGTTAGTGACCTGTCAGATAACTACTATTATGTAGCATTGCAGTATACAAAGAACAGATATTTTCCCATTTTCTCCTCAAGGAATTTAGTGTACATATTGCTCTTATCACCCCTCTTTTACTACAGATGTGCTGAGGATCAGAGAAGTTCCATGATTTGGGTAAATTCATGGTAGTTATGGTCAGAGTGCTAACCAGGAATTATTTGATTCCAAATCCCACGTTCCCTCATTTTGCTTTTTAGAGCGTATGCAAAAATAACTGGAAAAAGCTCAGTTGGTTTAATAACACACCCTGAAAACCAAGAATGATTACTATTGTTGGTTATTGCATAATAAAGTCTTTCATGTTGAACCCTTTGAAAGAGTCAGGTGAATTTAATTTGTAAACATCTGAAGTAAGAAACCAGAAAAGCGGAAGACAAGTTGATAATTCTGGGGAAAATTTTGCAGCCCCACTTAGCCATGTTAATGAGCTGTATTTAGTTAAATAACAAAGAGCCTCCCTCCCTTTCCACTTGTCAGGTGTGCCAAAGAACCTGAACTACGATGATGTGAAAGAGCTCATCTTAGCGGTGGATGGAGTGGTGTCTGTGCACAGCTTGCACATCTGGTCTCTAGCAATGAACCAAGTGATTCTCTCGGCTCATGTTGCTGCAGGTCAGTGAGTTTTGTAAACACCCTGCCAAAATTCAGTCCTTGCCCTGTAAACTCAATAATTTCCCTCCTTTCTGTACAGCTGCCCTCCGTGTCTGTTGCCTGTCAAAACAACCGTGGAGTGTTTCCTATTACCAAAGCCCTTTGAAAAAAGCCCTTGTCAACGTTATCATGGCAACAGTGATACTGAGGACATCCCTTGAGGCAGACTGCAGAGGGTAGTGGGTAGAATGAATGGCTAAAATGCCACCCAAAGTTCAAGGTCTTCAACTCAGAAAATTAGATCTCACCTGTTTGACTTGGTGCCCGATGAATTAAATAATGGGATGAGCTCAACAATAAACTTCATTGAGTTATTTCCTGTGTCTGAGATGCTCTGCCTATTACAGAAGATTAAAAAAATGAAGGAGACCTAGGTCCCATACTTAAGATTCTAACAGGTTAAAAGATGTGCTAGTAGGAATTAATGGTGATTCCCTCACTGGATGGTTAGAAATTCTGTAACCATGTGAGATAATTCTTAGGATTTGGGGTTTATTCTAAAAAAGTACTTTCTCAAGTAGAATGTGATTTGTGCACCATGTGTCCTAGAGCTGGGGAGATAGGCAGTGGGGGAGGGGAAGCCTCTCACTGCTTCAGGAGACAGCTCAGACCAAATGATATGTTAGGCTGCTAAAAAAATAATTCAAGAAGTTACTTAGAGGCAGGGTACAGGATCACTGGCGACAGGCATTTGAGGACTATGCTTTCTCCGATATCCTCGGCTTTGCTGAGAGGCTTAGATGTGGCTACAGGTAATTTATAGCATCTACTACACCAATATTTCACTGCAGATGGAAGAATCCAGTAAACAATAAGGTTACTATGGAGGGAATCTTACAGCTTCCTGATACCTTTTGGGACGAGAGAGAAGATAGCAGTGAGGTTCCTTCTTTGAGCAGGAACTGTAGGGAGCTCTAAATGCTTCCCTGTTCCTATCACTAGTCTTGGTATAAATGCTGATTAGATACAAGAGCTTCAACGGAAAGATCTCTGGGGACTGGTGGGAAGGGCTGTATAAAAAAATCAGAGCTTTGTCTTGGCTTTTTTCAGGCCTTATCTCCCTTTCCATGGTCAGGTTCTAGGACGGCCAGACCCAAGAGAGAACTGTGGGCAGGAAAAGTTTCCATAGTGATGGGTACTTTGCTGCACTAGAATTTCCCCCTGTCTTGTCTGTGTGGATATAACTGATTATCAGAGCCAGAGTGCTTCTCCTGAGTGCTCTGCCTGTGGCCCTCCCCACCAGGTTACAGACAAAGTGCTTGAGGCTGGAAATTTAGCCATCACCCATGTGTGTGCAATCAGTGCCCATCTCACTGTGGTTCTTTCTCAACAGCAGCCAGCCGGGACAGCCAGGTTGTTCGAAGAGATATTGTAAAAGTCCTCAACGATAGCTTTACTGTGCACTCACTCACCATTCAGATGGAATCTCCAGCTGACCAGGACCCTGACTGTTTTTTCTGTGAAGAACCCCGGGACTAGTTCAGTCACAATGTCAACTTCCAGAGTTCAATGGCCCACTATACACTGCTCTGCAGTTTCTAGAATATAAGAAATAAAGAACCAAAGGAAGAAGTTTGAGAAATTCGTGATACAGTACAGTGCACATTTTATCCACCATGAATGAAGACGCATATAGATTCATTAATCAATTGGATTATCAACTCATCAGTAGCTGTGTTCAATTACAGGAATGTGTGTATGGACTGTTCCTGACTGGGGCTGAAGTAACAGCTGTTTGTAACCACAGGCAATAAAAAGTTCATCTCCCTTCAGTGATGTATCCTGAGGATGAGTGGGTAAAATTGAACTTGGGAAAGTCTTATTAGGAATCAGTGCCCAGGAAAAGTCACAAAATTCTCCTCAAATGGGAGAAAAAAGCAAACTAGGAAGAGCTTAAGTTAAAAGAGATGCTGGAAGCTTAACACCCCACTAGAACTTGACTCTCTGGTCAGTTTATAATAGGATTTGGAGCAGTTTCTTTTTACTCCCTATCAGCATCACCATTCCCTAAATGGGGTAGAAATGTCCTCTTTCCTTCTCACAAATTATGTTTTAACATGTCTAAAACTATTGAATGGTATTTTTCTTCTCTGTGTAAAAGCTCTGGACAAATGAAAAATTATGAAATTGCTGCTTTTTGAGTGTTTTCACTTGGTGTGACCTAATAACAAAACAAGGAAGCACAGAGCATCAGAGTTCTTATTCCAGATCATATGGAAAATAATTTAGTCAAATAATTAAGAACTCACAGGTCTTAAATAATATTTATGGAATACCAACTATTATCCAGGTATTGTACTAGGCTTTTCAGATGTGTCACCTCATTTCATTTGAGTGACAACTTTGGAAAGTTGCAATTAATACCATCGTTATATAGACAAGGACATAGGCTCACAGAAGTTAAGTAATTTAACCGATATCATTATTCATTCATTCAAAAACAATTTTTCAGAGCACCTGGGTGGCTCAGTCAGTTAAACATCTGACTCTTGATCTTGGT